GGGCCAGGGCAGCGGGAGCCTCCGCGGGGGCTGCTCGCTCAGCCTACCTGTTCACAGGCCGCGCCGGAGTGCGGTCTAAGTGACAGCAGTGCTCCCTCCGTGATGTTTTTACCGTCTTCGTTAATAGAGCTGGGGTAGCATCTAGCTCCCCAGGAAATAATTGCTTTTCCCGATCTATGTTCTGCAGCAATATTTCCTATTATTCTTTTATTACTTACTTTTATTCTGGAATGATCTTTTTTTTTTCCCCACTGTCTTAAGGTTTCCGTGTGAGGTGTTTAGAAACAGCATCCAGGCTTCGGTCCCAAGCCACTGATTTAGCCACACTCCTTCGTGCACCTAAGACCTCACTATGCTGTGACCTGTCCACACTTGTTTTTGCTAATCGATTTACAGGACCCTCTACAGGATCTTGGAGGAAAAGGCTGCAGCAAAGACATCTCTTCCATCATGAAGAGGTGCTTGCATTAGGGGAAAAAAAAAGGATGCTTGTCCTTGTTAAGGGAGCGGCTTTCCTAACTTCCTGACTGGCTTCAATGACACTAAGATAACTGCACATCTTTTGTATGCATAGAATAGACTGATCGTCTGTATTTCAGACTGATTGCACCAATTTGCAATTACTAAGTAACAGCCAAAACCCCTCTCAGTAAATTCATACTGTCAGTGTAGTTTATGATTCAGGTGTGGGAATAAAAATATGCTGTTGTGATTAAAACGAGATCTTAATCTACAGAAATATCATATAGGACTGACCACAGCTGTGGGGTTTGGAAAGCAAGCCATGTATGTGTTCAAAATTGTAAATTCATCTCTCCTTTTTTTTTTTTTTTCTGGCTAGCAGTCTGGAAATTTTCCATCTGCTAGGAAGCAGCCTCCTGTAAAAAGGGCACTGCAGAACTTGAACTAGTTTAATCATTCACTTTAACTACTATGGATTTCTGTATTTGTCTACAGGAACAGGTTTTTTAAATTAAACATGTACAAATTAACAGATCAGATGGAGCACCTCAAGAAAGATTTCCATCTATAGCTTTCTCTCATGGATTTTGGCTTTAACAGTAGTACCATTTTTTATACCTTTTTTTTTTTTTCCTTCCCTGCATGTCCTTGCTCTGTGTTTGTATACGTATCAGTTGTGAAGGCACAGACTGTTTGTTCTATGTACAGCTGGGATCCTATTCCTGGCTTGCCAAGGCACTTAAAAAGCCAAAGCACTGTCAGTATTTACACTTGTCTGGAAGCAATGGGCTTTTGGGAGGTGAATACAATAGGAAACAAATATTAATTAACTCTGGATTTTAGATTAATCTTATGATTTGTACTGTGAATAAAGCAGAAGCTAAATCTTCTATCAAGCAGACAGAAGGGAAACCAAGTGTAGGTTTTGTAAATTGGCAACTTTTGTTGTGCTGTGTTTCCCAGAGGGAAGTTAACATGCTGATGTTTTGGGCAAGGAGTAACAAAAGAGAGCAAGACAAAGTGAGTAGTAAGGATACTTGAGTACCAAGGACACTGACTCAAGGGCAAAGGGGAAACACAATGGTAACATGTTGCAGACATCCTGCAATAAAATGGAAAATTACAAATTTAAATCCATTTTAGTTAAGCGATCTTGGAGGGCAGACTGTACTACTCTGGTGCATGGCAGCATCTCTGGCATGTATTTGTTGCTCTTGCTTCTGGATTATGTCAGAGCTTCTGTGCAAACAGAGTAGCAATGCTGCTACTACAGCATTGATCATTACAAATTGCCTCCCAGCGTGTTTGACTTTCATCAGGTTGACTGTTACTCAACAACAGTAAAGCAAGCAAATCTTTCCACATCTTCCAGCATGTGAGATGCATCAGCATTGGTGCATTTTTACCTATGCAGAGTCAGAAGGTGTTTTTTCCATCTACTTGGGCTAGAGAAAAGATCAGGGAAACTGGTAGAGGCTCTTGCTTGTCTGTGCTGGCCAAGGACATACATTTTGGGGTTGTGCAATAGAGGCCAGACAAAACAGATGGAAGTTTGTGTGTGTGCTAGTATACCTCCGTGGACACACACTTAATGGACATTGTCACATAGCCTCAAAACATACAAGTCACTTTACAGTCTGCTTTTTAAAGCATTGCTGAAGTCCCGAAGAAATGTGGCAGATTTGAATACCACACTTCTTGTGTAGATTGAAAAGTCAACCCTTGAAAATCTAGGCAAATCTAGGCAAATATATTTTTCCCTCCTGGGAGCCAGAGTGCAGATACTTAGCAATTGTATGCTGAAAAACATGCATTATATTCTAATCCTCACCACACCACCTGGTAGAGTTTTGACATTTAAGCTGACATGGCGCAAATTCCTTACTGCTAAGGTTTGCGCCATTCCAACCTCTGCAAAATCAGGGTATTGTTGTGCGGGTGGTCAGCAGAAATGCCTTACCTTGATTTATGTGCAGTACTGCCCATCTGAACTTCCAACTGGGGGCTGCTCCATGCAGGATTGTTCTGTGGTGAGTCATGCAGATAGCTTTTGGGAGGCAGTGCTGTGCTATGTATGAGCAGCGGGCTCTGGCCATGAAAATGTTTCCTGAATGATGTAACCTAAAATTCCCCTTCCTGTGCCTCTTGTTTCCTGATCAGTTCTCTCATTGTTCTTGAAGACATTCCAGCAGCTGCGTATCTTGTACTCCTACTCTTTTATTCCTACAAATCTCTGGGAAGACAAGTGATGTCAACAGCTGCTTTAATTAATTTGGTTAGAAACGGAGGGTATCAAGCAAGGAGGAGAGCCCTGCTGACATCCCGCCTCTTGCAAGACGAGAAGCGCCCGACAGCCGTGGGCTACAGCTCCGTCTCTGAGCGCCGGGCTTCCCGCTTCGATGCCGACGGCAGCGGGCGCCCCGCCACATGGGACACCTTCGGCATCTGGGACAACCGCATTGACGAACCCATTCTCCTCCCGCCGAGCATTAAGTATGGGAAGCCGATCCCAAATGTCAGTCTGACCAACGTGGGCTCCGCTAGCCATATCGGGAAGCGGAAGGAAAACGAAGACCGGTTTGAATATGCTCAGCTGACAGACGACATCCTCTACTTTGCAGTGTATGACGGACATGGTGGGGCAGCAGCAGCTGACTTCTGTGATAAGTATATGGAAAAATACATTAAGTAAGTGTGCGCCATACAAATGCATGGCATTTGAATTCCAGCAAAGCCTCCTTCCTTAGAACTGAAAAGGAACCTGAGGGTCACAGATTGCCCCTCGTTGTCACTGTCATCTAGTCCAATGGGACAGCAGAAACACGGGACTGGAACAGTCTCTGTTGTGCGGGACATGGTATAAACCTGTCATCCTGCACGGTTCTTGCATGCACACACAAGGGCAAGAAAATATGTGCTTTTAGCTTTGCAGATCAGAAGCAAGATGATAAGCTGTCATATTTATTTGCAAAACCCTAACGTTTGCTTACAGTGCAGATCAGTAATTACATCATATTACTTTAATATAATCAACTGTGACTGAATGCATGCAGAGAGGAAATAATTCTTTTGAGGAAAGAAATTATTATTATCTATATATTTTTAATTTTGTTTCCAGAGAATTTCTTACTCAGGATAAAAACTTGGAAAATGTTTTGAACAAAGCTTTTCTAGAAATAAACAAGGCATATGAAAACCATGCTCATCTGTCTGTTGATGGTAAGTAACAAATATTCTGCTCTTGGCATGAGAAAATGTTTTTTCTTATTTGCTCAGTTGTTTTGTATTAAGACTTCTTGAAAAACGCTTAAAAGAAATCTTACTTTACATAGATTTTTGCTCTAATCACTTACTGCAGATGAAACAATCATGTTGAACTTTTTAAAATGAGAACGCTATGAAAAGTCTAAATGCAATTTACTGGGGAGTTATTAAACTAAAGCTTAGCATAAAGCTGTTATTTTTGTGTGTATAAGGAAGGGTGTCTTACAGTTCCCCTTTCTGACTCAGCAGCTGCGACTGAGGAGGAACGCAGGCCAAAATTGATACAATAGATGTTGCTCTGCACAAACAGAATGACAAGAATAGGTCTGAAAGCGAAGGAGAAAGGCAGCTGGAGAATGAGGTTGGCTGGGGCAGGGCTGGCACGAGCCCTTTTAGCCTCTTCACTCTTGGCTGTGAATCAGGGTCTTGCATATATGTCTAGAGACTAAACAGAGCTGAAGTGTAGTTACAGAAGCCAGGGTTTAGAACGAGCAACTTGGGAAAGGGGGAGGTGACAGAGGTTAAAGTCATGCTTCTCTGTCACTGGAGTTTCCTCAGCATTAAGACACTATTTCAAGAGTCAGCTGCACCCGTCTTAAACTGCCCCAGTGTCGGTGCAGGTGTTTACAACACAGTTGAGGTTGTTTTAGAAGAGCAGACTTTTTAAGAGTCTTCCTTCCAAGAAAGAAGTGAAACCAAACAAGTCCTCTTGTGACTGAAATTATACTGTGTTCCTGGGTTACTTTCCTTCTGAATGAAAGCAATAAATTACTAGAACTGTTTCCTGTGCTTAATAACCAGCCATACAAACCTGGTTAGACTCCTAGGAAACGTTTCCTGGCAGGACAGGGAGTCTGGCTGCTGCAGCATGGTGAGCAATGTAAATCCTTTCTCTTACCTGGTGCAAGCTGAGGTACTGGAAAAAAAAGTCATAAATCCTGAAATACATCTCAAAAAAAGAAAAAAAAAAGAAAAAAAAAAGCAGAATTAAATCTTTAAACTTTGTTAACAAGATAGCTCTTGCTTTTGCTCATCTAAGTGGCCTTTGTTTCTTAACAAAGTGCCTTAAGCAGAACTGGAAATCCTACTTGGTACGTTATTCGATTATTCTGAAAATGGTTTCTGATACAGCGTTTTGTAGATGAACTAGATAACAAGAGTATTTCACAGACAAGTTCTGCAGCAAGCTGAGTATTTGGAACTGCTTATAGAGTATTATCGTACTATTTAACTGGATGATAACTGAGCTACTTCATGAAAATGCCAACAAATTTACCCAAACAGCAGCTAAACAGCACAGTTACGAGATCCTGGACAAACTCCCTTCATTAAAAAGCCTTGAGGTCAAACAAAATATTGGTGCAAGGCACTGCTTACAGCCTCAATGTCCCACCCAGTGCACCCAGTGCTTCTTTAGGTAGATTTTAGACAAGCTCTCCCAGGAACCTGTCAATGAGAATGTGCCCAGCTGAAAACCAAGCTATAGGGGAAAAGAGTGGAGTAGTAAGACGTAAAAATGAATAGAGATGTATGAACAAAGTGAACTCACATATCTGCTGTTGAAAATTTTCAATTCTTTGTTGACTAGTGTGGGTATTTTTGTTGTTGCTGATTTGAAAGTTGCATAAAAGTCAGTAGCTTTATTTGTGTCCTGGTTAGAAGCCTAATTCCAAAGAGATTTGGCAGCAAACCTTCTGATTAATTGTGGCTATTCTAGATGTGACTGAAGAGCGTTGCTCAAGCTTCTTGAAAATGGTGGTGGTGATGGTGGAACTCTGGGTGTCCAGAGCGCACTGGATGAATCCCAGGACTGACTGCCTTTTAAAACACTTCTCTAGGTGACAAAGTGGAAAATTATAGTTTAGTGTTGTTCTGGTAGCTCATTCTGCCAGCGTCCACTCCTTTTACTGTGTCTGGAACTCCAGATCTGCACTTTTTAAACATGTGCCCAACTTGGAAAGTGTTTGAAAGTGTATGAAGGAGCATGACTCCCGCAACAAGTTCTAGTAGCCAAAATTGCAGGTATTTTGGACATTATGCTTATGATAACTTTTTTTTTTCCTAAACAGTATTACAATGTAGCACAATGTAACAGGCTAAGAGGTGTACATTCTTAAAGCATCTGACCCTTTCTTTGAGGTTGATGCCTTCTGAAGGTCACTTCCTTGTGCCAGAATATTTGACACTATACTTGAAAAATACCCAATGCAATACTTTCTTTGAGGTTCCAGTAAAAATTAAAGATGTATGTCGCAATACCACTCCTTGTGTCTTGTGTGCAGGATGACTAGTGCTGCTGGACTGCTGTCCTGGCCTGCGGTCCATTCCAGTATCCCCTCTGATAGTGGTCTGTACAGGATGCTTCACGCAGAAGCACAAGAAACATGCTGTAAGCAGATCTGGGATAATGTGTCTTCCACATATATCCTTTCTAGTTGTTAACAGGTCAGATATCTGCCTGAGCCTTGAAGCATGATGTCTGCCATCTCTTCAGAAATGCATTTTCATTCACCTTCACACATTTAAATACATTGAGTCACTTTTAAATCACTGCTAAAGTTAAGTATGGATACACTAGAGGATGCTCATGTCAGACAGACACATCATTACCCACGAGACAACCATTACCACAGATGGACAAAACTTTCTGGTATTTCTGAATAGCACTAACCATGTATATGTAAGGGGTGAAGAGGAATAGAAATAAACAAGGGAAGCTTGTGGAAATTACAGCATCGCACGGGGAAAGAGAGCACATTAGACAGGCTAGTTTTCTAAATACAGCATTTCTCAAAGGAAGAGCAGCTGTCATGCCCTAGTGTGTCCTCCTGCTGCTATTCCTTGCAGGCACAACCTCGTATTCGCGGCACAGCACCTATCCATCAACCTCCATCTTCAGTGTGTTCAATTCTAATTGCACCAGCCACTCACTTCTGGAATAGCCACCTTATTAAAATACAGCCAAGTGTTAACTGTAGTGCTTCTGTGTATGCAGAAAAGATATTTGTCGAATCTTATGGTGCTGAGCAAATAGCAATAGTCTTTTGAAAATAACTGAATGAAAAAGTTTTAAAGTTACCATTCAAAAATGTGATTATTCTTTGAATATGTTAACCTGCAACACTGAGGAAAAGAGAGAGCTGCAGAAATTATACTTAAATATTACACTAAGCCATCACTAAAAAGACAGCCTTTTATCCACAGGTCTTGGTTACTATCTAATCAAGTTAAAGATGCTCATTACAGTATTATGGGAGTGTTTATTTTGCATGTTTTCCCATGGCTCAGGTGAAGCCATATGTTTCTATTCAGCACATTTAAAATGGCCTCAAGTTGGCACTTGTCTGAAGTGCCCTTCCCTGCCACCTCCAATTTTTGATTCATACATAAATCAGCTTGAGAAACAGATTGGACCATATTCAAGTGTGGCCAAACTGAACACTACACAATTCACAAGGACTTCCTCCATCACCTGCAAAAGAAAGTGCAGGCAAACCCAAAGCAAATCCTACAGTTTTGCAGCCCTTGTTCTTTCACCTCCAGTGTTGCAGGTTTACTTTGTTTGAACGAAGTCCCTGGGTGAATTTCCTATTTGCCTCTGTGTACATGTTATTTGTGGCAGACACTGTACCTGGTCAGCAGCTCTAGAACTGGAGGCCCTGGACACTATATGCTGGGCTTCAGTGGAAAGAGAGATCTGCTTAATTTTGTCCCAGGTGAAGGAGTCCAGCGGTTCCTAGCCTGGACTACTGGAAGGTTCCCACATCCTCTTTGTCACATTAGTTGAGATGACTTGCAGTAAAAGTTGTCCAGTGAGTGTTAAGAACCTATTGAAAGATCTTAGTTATATAGTGATATTGTCAGTAAGAGAGAATAAACTCTTCAGTTGTTAAAACAATGTATGTGCCGATGCAACTTATTATTAAATAATCTAGAAGCAGTAGCAGTAAAACATTAGACCTTGCATCCCATCACCATTCCTGTGTTTTGGAACTGTGCTAAAAATGAGGTAATTCCTCTAGGCTAGCTAAATCCATATTGCTCCTTTACCCAGATCATAAACTAGATCCAGGGAAGAGAACATGAGTGGAATTCATTGTTCCAAGCAATAGCATTTAACTAATAAACATTTGTAAAGCATAAGTTACCATAAATTGTCTGCACAGTATCTGTGACTGGTTCTTTGATAACATTCCTTGATATGGAGATAGCAGCTCTTTTGGTTTTGTAAATTTTTTCTTTAAGGATGTATATTCACCCGAATCACCAAATGTTTAAGGTCATTCATGATTTAAACCCTACCAATCTTGTCTTTTACAAGGATAGCATTTATTTGTCAGCATTGTTCCAAAAACTAGGAATGATATGGGGCACTAGTGGCAGTTCCTTATTCATTTTAATTTCTAAATCAAATGTATTTTCTGTGAAATAAAAAGTAGTTTTATATGGGATTTTCATTTAACTTATTTTAATTATTTAGCAAAAACAGGTATTTTACTGGCTCTACTAAAATTTCTAATCATAGTGCTACTTGTGTCTTATTTTTGTAACACACCTCCAAGTGAGCTTGCTCCAGAGTAATCTGAAGTCCTTGCTTCAGATTACAAATAGGATATTAGCACTTACCTGAATACGTGGTGTTGTACGCTGTAGTCTTCATAGCAGCCATATCGTAGTCAAAGATTGGGCGTGGATATGGCTGATGCTCACGATCAGCATTTTGGTTAAGTGTACAGATAAACCAAGTCTTCATAGCAGTAATAATACCTGTTTAAAAGAATTACACAAGCTTAGTTTAGACTATGTTGTGACGATTTTGTTTGTTTGTTTTGTTTCATCAGCTCACTGCTTTCACATTACAACAAGGCTCAATGCATCTCTCAGGGCTTTGTGCATCTTGAATTTCCTACCAGCCCAGTTTTCCAGGGGTGCTGAGTGCTCACAGGATTGCGGGGTGGACAGTGAGACCCCAAGCTCACCAAGCCTCCGTAAACGTGCAGGGGGACGTCCTGAGAGCTGTCCCCTCCCTGGCTCAGAGCTGAAGGGTCAGAGGAGACAGTGCACGTAGTTGTAGCTGAGCTCTAGGGAAGTGGTGGAGGGAGGATCTTTCCAGCGAGATGATGAAATTGAAACCAGAAGGCCTTAGATTTGATGTAATCCAGTCAGGACCCTAAACGCAGTCAGGCAGCTCAGATTACTTCTCTGCCTGGCAAGAGGAGAGGGCAGCAGCTGAGAGACTGTCTTGCCCTTTAGACAGTGAATTTATATCCCTTTCGAGCGATCCTACCAGTGCCTGTGGTGGATTGCCCAGAGGACCAGGGCCAGCTGAGTGGCTCAGTTTGCAGGTGCAAGGCCAATCAGGATCCAGGTTCACCTCCAGACTGGGACCTTCAGCAGATTGACAGGGTTTGAAAAGAGCAGAGGCCCCTTCTGAAAAAGACCTGTGTCTGCTGGCTGAACCCTCTGCCTTTTGGCAAGTCTGTCGGAAACTCTCCAAAGGGAGACTGTAACAGCTGGGAGAGCAACTGGAGTATCCCAGAGACTGGGGCAGGGAAGTTTCTCATCTAGAGGAACTATATGCAGCTACATTTCGGGTTAGTGAATTGCCTACTTCACCTCCAAACAGAAGGGAAGATTTGTCAGCTTTATGGTGGGCAACACCTGCAGTTCACTGCGTCCAGGCATGAGAATGAAATCCAAGTACCTTCAGATGCACTATTGGAACAGGAAATATGTTTGCTACAACCTGAAGAGAAACTACCTGACCTGATAGTACTTTTATTCTCTCGCCCTTTTGCATGGAGCCATGTTGTTGCCCAGAAATACTCACCCTTTCCACTCCTCCTCTTCTCCCTAGCCCTACATGCATGTTTGTTTGCTGTACTTTCTGAATATAACTTTAGTTTAAACTTTAAAGCATTACTTACTGATAACATAGAGCACAGGTTGTCTTTGTTTTCTCAGTTGATACTATTGCTCTGTTACACATGGTGCTATGCTTTTGGGCAGTTTTAAACCCCCCTTTTTTTGGTGTGATGTTTATAGCAACTGTGATGAATGCTGGCACCACTGCAACAGTGGCTCTGCTCCGGGATGGGATTGAGCTGGTTGTGGCAAGTGTGGGAGACAGCCGTGCACTGCTGTGTCGAAAGGGGAAAGCCGTGAAACTCACCATTGACCATACTCCAGAAAGGAAGGAGGAGAAAGAAAGGTACCTGTCAGCTGATTTTGTGGCTTCCTTGGGACTGGCCTTGGTCAGGCTGTGCTTTTGTTCCTGTTCTGCAGCTGGGTTGGGCCTGGAAAAAAAAAAACAAATCATAGTTGAACAAAATGCCTGGGATTGACATCTACCAAAAGGTGGCACAACTCCACTTAGCTTGTTTATGTCAGTTTAGAGGATTGAGGACCTGGGGAAAAATACACGAGCATAAACTGTTATGGTAGTAAAATCTGTGCAGGACTACGCTCAAGGACTTGTTCAAAACTGCCAAATTTGAGTTAAGATTTGAAGCCATGTACTATGGTTGCCAGGTTGGGGCTTAGCCTGCAAAACCACATCCCTTCCTTGGAGCACTTCAGATAGCAAAAGCCAACTCTCAGTTTCCCAGTTCAGGTCTTCCATACCCTATTCTACCTCTGCAGACAGTGATAGAAATTGCAGCTAGGGATGATGATCAGAATCACTAATTCAGATTTCCTTTCTCTCTTTCCCCTGAACAGGATTAGGAAGTGCGGTGGCTACGTTGCCTGGAACAGCTTGGGACAACCACATGTGAATGGTAGACTAGCAATGACACGGAGCATAGGAGATTTGGATCTTAAAAACAGTGGAGTGATAGCCCAGCCAGAAACAAAACGGGTTCAGGTAAAAGAAGGCCTGGTTAACAGGAACAGCAACGCTTGGATTAAGGGGCCACACAGGTATCTGATGCAGGAAGTGTCCACACAGCATGTGCCCAGTTGGAACCCAATGGCCATGCTTCAATTTTCAATTATGGCAAAGTAACCAGAAACTAATTTGAAAGTCTTCCAGATTTACCCTAATAGGACAGAAGGAATAAATAAACATTCCTGATTGATAATAAGTTCGGCCAAATTAACTTTTAAATCCAACTTACCATAGTATCAGACATGAGGGAAGGAAGGAAGGAAGGAAGTAAACACAAAACCTGACGGCTAGACCAGAGTTTAGTGAGATGACCATGTCTGCCATGAAATCCTCCTTTTAAGGAAGCCTGTCACTTATTTGACAGTATATGCATCTGGGCTTTTGGCCTCAGAATATTTGGAGGGTTATTTTCTAGAACCAAAAGCCTTTTCAAATGTTTTCCTCCAGTAGGAGGAACACAGTCTGTTTCTGATGCACATGCTGAAGAGTTTGAAGGGCTGCCTTAGGCTACCAGGTGTGGGAGGGTCCCTGTAAGACCTTATGCACAAAGCAGGGGAACATGCAGCAACCTCAAAGTGCTCTGCAACAGAGGGAAAAAAAAAAAAAAACAAAGCCATTTTCCAGTTTACCTTGCAGTGCTCTGTTAATTTTCACCCACCCTGTATGCCTTTGTTGCAGCTGCACCATGCGGACGACAGCTTCCTGGTCCTTACTACGGACGGCATTAACTTCATAGTGAACAGCCAGGAGATCTGCGACTTCATTAACCAGTGCCATGACCCAGCTGAAGCAGCCCATGTGGTAACTGAGCAGGTAAAGGCAACCTAGACTTGTGATTTAACTGTGCTAGCTGAGATGGTCACTGCTCCAGCTGTCTGTCCTTTTCTTTCCCTGGACCTTGCCACATCCTTGCTAGGACGTCATTTCAGTTTATGTAGTTAGGTTATGATCCACTGAACTGCACAGGGACTGTAACTGCAGTTTATTCCAGTCATCAGCATAGATGGCAGTGGGAAATACTTACTACAATTTCTCACAGTGACATGTCATATAGAAAGCTCAGTGGCATGCAGGAACCCGCAATGCCAGAGCTGATAGGACTCAAGGAAGTGTAGGTCCTTGTGGCCTGCTGTCCCATGTGGAGTCTGGTCCTTGTTTCCCTTTCACCGAAACCACAGGGTTACGATGCTGATTGTTTGTTTCTCCCCTCAGGCAATACAGTATGGCACCGAGGACAACAGCACCATTGTCATAGTGCCGTTTGGAGCATGGGGTAAATACAAAAACGGCGACATCAACTTCTCCTTCAGCCGCAGCTTCGCCTCCAGTGGGAGATGGGCATGATGGCACAACTGTCTTTTCCTGCAATAATCTGGACACAGAGTACCACAGCAGAACAAATCCGTCTGTTCATAGGTTGACTCGCTGTCTTGTCTTCGCAGTGTTACAGAAGATGCCACTGCTCCCTTGGTGGGCAGCGCCTTGTTGTTGCTTATGGCTGATCGTGTTTTACCATTTATTTATTCGAATCAGCACTGAGGCAGCTAGGTCTTCATATTTCTGGTCCCAGTAACTCTTCATACCACTTTGTTCATGTAGACAAGGTTCTAGGCTCTCATGCTAGGTTGGAGGTTGTGCACAGTAGTTTCATGCCAACGCATCTTACCTAGTTATTACCTTAGTTATTTAGCAGCTGTGAAAGTCTGAGACTCTGAGCCATCCACCAATACACAGGGGAACAAACGCACAGTTTTCGTAGCAAGACAGAAGGCAGATAAGTTGTGTCCTCTGCTGTGCAGCCACCCAGAACTCTGTGCTTCAGGAGAAGCAGGTGAAAAGTAAGGGGGAAGTTTCAGGACGTAATCAGCTGGCACCTCAATCCTGATGCCAAGGGCACTGGGTGTACCTGACATTTTTCCTAAGACAGTGCTGCTTTGCAGGGCTTTTGCTCTCGCCACGGGGAATTGTGATCCTCTGGCTCCAAGGGCATGGAGCGCACTGTGGGAAGGGAACATCTCCATTGGATCTGAAGCCTGTGCGGTTTCTGTGGACCACGGAGCAGCCCCCTTTCTCTGTTCTCTTTGGTGTGCCAGTGCTTGACATAAGCACATAGGAGGGAAAAAGGTACGCATTTTTGAAATCCAGAGACTCTATCTTTTGTTTCTTCTTCTTCTTTTTTTTTTTCTTCTTCTTTTTTTAAGCTAATTTGAGGGAATTTTCTAATCATAATTCTTTGGATGTGTAAAACAGGAAAGTTCATTTCTTCATAAATATATGAGGATTTTCCTGCCCTCCATTGAAGATTTTTAGTTCGTTGTGATGTCCTGTGTATCCTCACGGTGTACAGGGAGCTGTAAAATGCACAAAGCAAACAAGCTAGGGAAAGGGGAGAATTTTGTTAGCACAATTTTTGTGAGCTTTGGGTGGTGCCACATAGTAGATGACAGATCCTTGGCCAGCAAAAGTAGTCTTGTGCTCACGGAAAGAACATCCATTTCCTCTTCCCTTTTTGGAGGGGGTCTGGGCCCACGGAGGCGCAAGGGTCCAGAGCCCCTCAGGCTGCTGCTGTCAAAGGGAGCACAGGCCGTGCGCTGGCAGCGGCCGCAGATCTGCGCCAGCCGACCTGGTTCTTCCTGCGCTTCAAATCGGGGTGCAGCTCCCTTGGTCTCTGAGTTACCCTGCTGTAAGGAGACATGGATAGAGAAAAACAGGGCTTTTCTCTTCTTTGCAACAGTCATTTTCATTCTGTGGCTGTTTCCAACAAAAGAATTGTAAAAACAACCCAAAAAGTAAGTGAAATTGCCTCATATAAAGTCACCTTTAAGTAAGAGAAAAATATTTCTGTGATGCCTCATCTGATTCTTGTTTTCCAACATGAAGGATGTATCTTTGTTTCTTTAGCCCTCTCCAGGCTCAGGGTTACACCTTATGCAATCATTCCACATGTTTTCTTTGCCTCCATGTGAAGGCTTGGGAGCACCCCCCAGAGCACAGTCGTACTGACAGCAGTGAGTACTTGGTGAACACAGAATATGCTGGTTTTGTCCCATCACTTGGTGTATTATATGGTGTATATAATGTGTATATTTGGTTTATATGTATGAAGAGTTTGTGAAACAGTATTTGTAAATCTCTGTTGTACTTGATGCTATTATCCAGGCCTCTGTATTGAGTGTATTGCTGGTTTACAGTTGCAATGCCTTCTCTCTCCCCAGGTTTTCTGGGTTTGGGTTCAGTCATCACCCAAAGCCAAAATGGTTGTTGTGATCCTCAGTTTGGCCTTGCTGCACTGAGGCGAAAGGGCGCTCTCAGTCACCAGGCAGAGCAGGTTCTCAGCCTGCAGCAAATGGCTGACGATTCCTACAATCCATCTGTAGCAGAAGTGGCAAACCACAACTTCTCGTGAGCGCTCGAGGAGAGACAGCCCTTAGCAGGGGTTCAGAGAGCTGCCCTGGGCACGTGGCTACGGCCGGCCTGTGCTGCGGTGTGTACAGCTGGGAGTTTCTCCTGCAGAAGAAGTCAAACCCAAGAGTTCCCAGGAAAGGGTTAACTACAGCAAGCACCAGTCTCGCTCTGAGCACAGTGAGGAGCTGCAGGCGAGCTCTGCAGCGGGGTTTGCTGTGGGGGTGGATTTGCTATCAGATGTCAGCCAGGCGTGAGCGGTGTCAGGATTTGGACGAGCTCCATTGCTGCTGTTTCCTTCCAAATGCTGCTCATTTTTTGCTCAGCCAGCGAGCCATCTATCAAGACAGAAGGTACCACGGGCGCTGGGGATGTTTCTCATAAACATGCGCTGCTTTTTAAGCACGCACATTTGAGCAGTGCTAGATACTTGCCAAGCTAACGAATGCCAAGGTAATGAATAACACTGCAAAATATGTTGTAAAACTGTTTGCACAGACCTTCATCACTAGGGCTGTTCTTCTGAACCACAGTTCTGCTTTATCAGCAAGGGCCAATGTGAACTCCCCTAGGATTTAATGAAAACTGCAACAAACCTCATTCTTCTCCAAGGAGTCAGGAGAAAACTTTGTTTTCTTTGGTGATGAAGCCATTGGAACAAACTACTGTTTTTTTTGATTTTCAGTTTAGAGGCTGAGTCTTGTTTAACAGATCCTTTTAAATTGAGAAACAAAAGAAACTTGCCTTTCTAATGACGGTTTCCCACCAGAGCAGTTTTATTATTACAAGATCACTATATATGTCTTCAATTTTGAATCAAATTAAGTAGAATTCACTTTCTAGCTCTTTCACATGCAACAACAAAATTAATATGTAATTTTTGTTACAGACCAACCTGAACATTAAGGGTGACCTGCTGAGCCAACAGGAACAAATGTTTGATTTTTCCTACCTTTTTAGGGCTAGGTTCTGAACTCCATCTCATCTGGCAAGAAGTATTTTCCTTCCTGAACAGTCACCCTGGCACAGTGGAGAGCGCTCAGGAGAGAAAATTCTAGGTACAGGCACTGCAAGAGTCTGGCCTGGGGCCAGGAAAGGCAAAGAATCTTGTCCAGCTAGTTACTCACTTTTCCTGTGATATGGAAGGCACCTCTACGGCCTCCTACTTCTGGAGGATTCACTAGGAGAGGTGCTGGGACTGTAAAGGGAGTTACAGCTTGCCTTCTGCACTTGGCAAATAGGGTTCTGTGCATTACAGAGGGAACGTGGTAGAAACTTTGCAGCTTTGAGCTGGGAGAGGTGTCTGCCAGGTAGATGGACGAGCACTGGGCACAGCACTCAAAGGGAACTGAGGGGTAGGTTGTTTTATATAGCATCCACTTACAGTCGGTTTCTTTTGGTCTGAAAATCTCAGTCTCTGTGAATAATCATGGAGCAGTGGTTGGGAACAGGGGCATGGAAGGAAAGCAGCAATATTTCTTGCTTGGTGGAAGCAAGACTCACCGTAGGACATGCACAGGCGTCAGGTCACCCGTTCTGTCTCAGCAAGTAGATGTGCTGTGGTCCAAGGCCTTGGGCTTTCTAGATGAGGGAGAAGCAGGAAACAGCAGGCACCAGTGAAACTGGTTTACTATTAACTCGTGTTAAATCAAAATCATTTGAGGACTCTTAGGTCCTTTGGTCACTTCCCGAGCAAGCTGAATGTATCTTATTGCAACTCTGACGGTTCTGAAGCTGCTGTTCTTGGTGCGGAGATACCCCGTGGGGTGTCCTCTCTACCCAGGATATCAAGTACTCGGGAAGCTCTGCATATCATAACTTTATACAGACTAAAGTGCAATTGTGTACATTCGTTACATAGTTTGCCTTAGGACTATGTGGAATTTCTGTGGTTTCATGTTTATGTTTGGTATAATCAGTGTTCATAATTAATCTACTTAATTGACAGAAGTATCCATTTTGCCTTTTTTTGTTGTTGTTTGTCTTTATAGTTATAAATCTACATTTGAGCAGATGAGGCTGTGCTAGAACGCTTAAAAGATCTTTGAATAAAGATTTGGCTCCCAGACTTCTGTCACTGCAGACCTGTTTTTCTTCTCCTACCTAATCTCAAATCACCAGAACGGAACTTTGTTTCCCATGATCTGTCCCAAGTGCCCTGTTGACCGCAGGCCACAGGCTCTGCCCTAAAAAGCTTTGGATAACCAAGGTTTATCTTACAAAGTGATTCACCCAGTGCAGCCAGTGCAACCTACCGGTCTCTGTGCCCACATGGGCTTTGGCATCAGGGCCACATGTGCTGTCGGACTTGCCTTCTTGTTCAATTTGGTTTATTACAACACCAAGCAATGAGAACCTCCTCTAGGCAACATGAAGAGGAGGCTGCAGAAGGCAGCGCTCAGGTAGGCGCCTTTTTCGAGCTCGCTGTGCAGAGAAACCCACCAGCTTTTGCCGCGGTAGTCGGGAAAGGGCTGCCGGGTTACGCTCTAACCGGAGCATTTGCCGGTTAATGAGTGTCCCTCTGACCCGCTGGTTAATTCATACCAATGGGGAAGCGGAGGAGGGTGGCAGCAGCCCGGCAGTGCCCTGGGCTTTCCCTGCCCAACCTCATCTCCCTCAGCCGAAGCCCGAGCGCAGCGAATTGGCTGGATTTTAGCGGCCTCTGTCTCTTGGCCAGCCTGGTTTTCCCCTTTCCCTTCTTTCCTAACCGCTCCCCGTGCAGTAATGGCTTCACAGCTTCCCACGTGCATCCGCATCCGGCAGAGCGCTGCAGAGGGGCCTCAGCAGGGGCCACGCGCAGGGCTGCGGGGGATCCTGCTCCAGCCCCTCGGGGCCCTGTTGGAGGACAGGGCTCAGCTCTCCCAAACCCTACGCGCCCGATGCTCAGCGCAGCGTCACGAAACTCCCTCCGGAGCGAGGGCAGGATTTGGC